TTTCTTTCTTCATGTGGGTTTCTGATTATCATATACTTATTCTCTGTATTGGTTCTTATATTTCCTTGTTTTGGTCGCAGAGTCCTTTCTTTGAAACGGACTGCTGAACAAAAGGCGCAAGAAATTCGCGCAGCTGCTGCCTCCGATTTCAAGACAATGCTACGTGAAAGAGAAGTGTCAATAAATTCACATTGGTCCAAGGTAGGACATTTGTTTCTATCCTTTGCAAGCTAGAGAGGTATAAAGTATGCAAAAGTTCTAAAGTTTGCAGGAACTTCTGCAATTTAAGGAAATGACCATATCCTAAGTTTCTGTTCCCATACTAGTAGCAATATTACCTATCAAAGTTACCAGTATTAGATTTTTGATCTGTGTCTTATCTCTTATCTAAAATCTTTACTTGATTAGCACTTTTGTAACATGCTACCACTAACTACCTATATGATATCTTTCTCCCCTGTTATATTAGGTGAAGGATAGCCTGAGAAATGATCCAAGATATAGATCTGCTGCGCACGAGGACAGGGAGGTATTTTTTAATGAGTACATTGCAGAAGTAAGAGCTGCACAAAGGGGAGATGATCATGAGATGAAGGCCAGAGACGAAGAGGTAAATTATCTTTATATTCACAACTCTTGTGAGCTTCCAGAATGTTCTACAAAAGTTCACGCAACCCTCTTCTGCTTGCTTTAACGTGACGATAATGATGCATTTTAATATTTCATGCATTATTTATTGTTTATTCTAATTTGAGGCACATTTTGGTCAAATTTTAAATTACCTGCATGCTACTGGTGCGGGAAGAAACGAATTGCAAAATAGTGAATCCTATAGTTTCGTTTATTTTTTGTATGTACAAAATTTGTTGGTCTCTTTTGTTTGTGTTTGGGGAAACCAGAATGAAAATGATGATTTTCTGGCCACCTTAATTCGGGAAACCAATAAGACCCATGTATTTACATCTTTGGGGTCAGGATAAATTGAGAGAACGGGAGCGGGAGTTGCGGAAACGGAAAGAAAGAGAAGTGCAAGAGGTGGAAAGAGTACGACAAAAAATTAGAAGGAAAGAGGCCGTCTCCTCATATCAAGCTTTGCTAGTGGAAAAAATCAAAGACCCTGAGGTATTTCTACCTGTGCTTACTTCTTCTATCTAGCTAGCTAAAAAGCTTTCGTAGGGTTGTGCAGCTGCAGTACATTTGATCCTCTATTGAAACATGTTAAAGATTAGATAGAGTTAGGTTGTAGTTTCTTTGCTCTTCGATTCTACAAAACAAGTTGGCTTCTCCAATTGTGGGAAATTCTGATCGGCCAATCTTTCTTTGATTACCTTCTTCAACATCTGAAGGCATCCTGGACAGAATCTAAGCCGAAACTTGAGAGGGATCCTCAGAAACGCGCCTCTAATCCAGATTTAGATCCTGCTGATAAAGAGAAGCTTTTCAGAGACCACATAAAGTCATTGTATGAGGTATTGTTTGTACTACTCGTCTGTAAACTTTACCGAATCGAACTGTCAGCATTTTCTGCAACAAGATGATAACAAACTGACTATCGCGGACCTTTTTCCTACTTCTCCTTTATATGTCTATTTCATGTCAATATTTTCTTGCAATGTTTTGCAGCGGTGTGCCCATGATTTTAAAGCTCTTCTAGTTGAAGCCTTGTCATCAGAAGCGTCTTCTCAGCAGATGGAAGAAGGAAAGACCGTGCTTAATTCATGGTCAACGGCTAAACAATTACTCAAACCGGATATCCGATACAGCAAGATGCCCAGAGAAGATAGGGAAATCCTATGGCGCCGTTATGCTGAAGATGTTTTGTGGAAACAGAAACAAGAAAGCAATCAAAAGGAAGAGAAACAAAGAGATTACAAGACCTAAAAGCCGCGGAATCGCCATGGCTCGATACGTTGTTAAAAAGCTCAATTTCTATGCGAAGCTATTTTGATTTCTCATTCATCAATCAGCTTTGTATATTCAACAGAAACAGCAAAACAAACGGAGTTATTTAGATGCACTTTCCCTTCTATGGATAGTAACTTGCTGATTTGGGTTTGATTTTCCTTTGATTTTCACAATCTTGTTAAGAGATTATTTTTCACTTTTAGAACTTTAATAAGATCCTTTCGTGGTGGCTTGTTTCTTGTCTTTTCTTTTGTACACTAAAAAAAAACATGGTTCATTTCTAACCAAATTAATTGAGCTCTAACCCAATTGACCTAAACTTGACCCTTAAGACAAAAGCAAGGACAAACTACTGATTCCTTTCCATCTATGGTTTTATGGGTTTCAGTTAATGCAAGATTAGTTCTGGACAAATTAAGACATGATCCGAACTTATCTTTCAGAATATTGAAGAGATTAGAAATAACTTTTGTGAAATGTCAAGATTCAGCTAACCGCATTCCAACCATTTTTTTTTATTGCTATTGTCGTAAATTTTATAAAGCTACGACCTGTAACAAAAATGTGGTTGTATTGATTATCTAGAAGACATGATACGTATACTACAATTCGGTCTATATAGTGAAATGTTTATTTTCGTGTCAACAAAGGACTAAGATTCTGCGCAGTACATGTTACTAAAATGAACGCTTGACATGACAATTTCAGTCTACGTTTGTGGTTTGATTTCAATATCTCAATTTCAAGGATATCAAATCTTGGGGGCATGTGACGTATATAGCCAAGAAAATATTTCTCCCGTGATATGATTTTGAATTGTTTTTATATACAATGCTCAATGATTTTGAAAGGCCAACTTGTTGTTTTGATAATTTGTTTTGTTTTTTAATATGTATAACCGAAAAATCTAAGGTTGAAGCTCAAACTAATATTCGGAATATGTACTTGTGTAGGTCAAATTCGAAGTGACAAAAGAGAAAACGGAAATAGCGTTTGTAGATTCACCGGCAATTTTCTTGAATTTCGAAGTAACTATGAAAAACTAAACTGATATATATTTATAAATCAGAAATTTGTTAATTAGAACTATAATTATCATCCGATTATTTA